TAGACTACATACTCCCTTGGTCGAAGTGAAAAACAAAAGTCCACCAAAAGAAATGGCCATGAAGCCACCAATGGTGCTCGGGCAACATTGAAGTGTTTAGGGAGTGGCGTTATCTGTCAGCCACCACATGGCAATGGCAGCCATCAACCAGTTCTTTGATCCCGTTGCTCGATTTCCTTCCGAAACGACTTCATCAAGCATTAAGTAGGCCCAGAAGAAACATAATCCATCACAACAACTTTTATAAGTGACTACATAAGCGGATGGGGCTATATGCTCGAGCAGAGTGAGCATGATTCAGGGACTATTAGGTTCTAATCGAGACATAAAATTCCCGGACATTCCGTGGAAGTGGGAAGAGCACGGCGAGAACAACTCGGAATTCTGTCCCTTGTATGGCCTGAATTTGAGCTGACACTTTTTCAATCATGAGTAGTTCAACTGATTTGCCGAGAAAACACTCCAAATGGACACTTATAAAGCTCCTAGTAGCTCAAATTTCACGGTGTATCACCACCGTTTTTCGATAAGACAGCAAGAAGCTTCTCAAAAATAGCTGATCACTCCGCCGATAAATATTATCTCCGAAAAATGACCGTCCACGGCTTGTTTTCCGAGTGAGAGTACACTTATTCCTTATCTCCGAGAAGTACCGAAAGTAAAAGTCCGCGCTGTAACTCCTGGAATACATCAAAGGCCAACTTTCTGCGTTCCAAAGCGTCCGCCACTCTGTCCTACTGAACATTTAACGATTTCGAGTGAACGGGAGAGACAATGGAAACAATCGGTCTCTTAAGTCTTCTGAAGTAAGCCCTGTCGAAGATTGTGGCTCTTGAATTCGGAACCGTTCAGAATCAGTACTTCAAAAGGTCGTAAAGGACTCTTCGGAGAAGAAAGAATCGTCATGAAGGAGTGCTTCGTTGTTGCCGAAGTGAATGAAACTGACAAAGTCGGGATGACACAGAATCTCGCCAAAATCACTGATGTCTGCATGAAGCCCGGGATTACAATGAATGAGTGGCTTGTTGACAGAATTTGAAGCTGAAGCGACGTTACCTCCTCAATCAAAACACCTTTATCCCTCAAAAGCTGATGGTTGCTGAGCTGACAAGAAGAGCAACACAGGATGACTGGTAAACAGAAGGAAAGCAAACGATTTGAAAATTTCAAAGTAAAACTGCTGGGCGATAGCGCCACAAAGCACATGTCACATAGTGCCTTAAAAGTAAGGGCGCTGTTTGAAACTGCCGTATAGGTGAATTTCCCCACAGCAGTAGCTACATATTCTGAGTATGCGTACGATTCTAGTAAAAATGGCAGGTGAATTGCGTGGCAGTGGAGCGTTCTAGAAAAATAGCTGCAAATTTAGTTTCAACGTATGGCTTTCTATGGATTTCGGCATAACTACTGCATTATGAGGTCCTTTTTTCGATCTATTAGGCTACTTTCAGGCTGTAAGGGTAGCGATTCCGCTGAAACGTCGGCCTGATAGAGCTTATATACAAACCTTGTGAAGAGTTCGAGGAAACAAACAACTCAATAATACTGCAAAATCAGTCCTGCAGCACCTAAAAGTTCGAGAAGAGCGGGGAAGGAAATGCCTTTTTGCAGGTGGTGGGTGAATGACCCGATGAACATTTCTCATTCACAAGGTTATAGGAAATCCTTTCAGCAGTAGCTGTCCAAGAAGTTCCTGAGAGCTATGGCATACCCAGAAGTGAATGGTACTCTGAACAGATCGGACAGGCCGGTGCTGACGATGTACAAAAGCGATTTTGCGATGCTGGATAGGCAACTGATGACAAGAATGTACACAGTCACACCCACATTATGTAGAAACAGTAAACACCAGGTATCAATGTGACCTTTCTGGATGGGCCACGGTCTTCAACATCTTCAGAGTGGTGTTCGAATCCACTCGAACGGACCCAAAGACCCATACACGCGGATGGAAAATTCAGCAGACTATGTGGAGACTTCTTCCAGCCACACTGTTACCACACCCACTGAAATGATCTATGGGAAGTTAACGAGAAGGATATTCCACATCCGATGTCTTTGCCGTTTCCGGAACGACATTACTTAGTGGGTTTTTTGCAGATGAGGGAGGGACCCTTTTGATAGAAATTATTACTTCGGGTTCGAATCCAGGGATGGTTAGCTCTGAGTACTGCCGTTACCGATCAGTGGTCAGGAAAAAGTTCTTTTACCCAAAATGAACTCAGTTCCAATCAGGAACACATGATGGAAACCTAGTCACAGCTGGCAAGCATGGGGATGGGAAACTGTGAGACCACGACATTCGAGAGGAGCTCCAAAACAATGACACATAACATATTACAGGTAGAATAATTCGTGCTTATTTCCGGGTAACCACGCCTATTCAACATATATGAATCGTGATGTCACAAAATAGTTGCCTGCAAAGCTGTTTGTGTGCACATTCGACTAAATACGGCTGATGCTGGCCATAAATAGCCGTGATTAACCGAATAATTGCAGCTGAGACTTCTACAGTAATCCCTGGTGACGTAAGTATAATTACCCCAGCGTGATTAAAATAGAATGGGGGGTTTTTAAAGATTGTCAGCAACTTTGTTTCGAAGTAAAATTGTCGCAGTAAGCTCTCCTCGGATTGTTATGACTTCGCTCAATCAGAAATGACGTGTTTACCTTGTGTGTACTCTTTACGACCCAGAAACTATGGCCATATTTGGCCCCCATCTTTAAGCCGTAAAGAGTCAGCTTACTTGGCGGACATCAATGATCAAATAGGGGAGTTCCACATGGGCAGGTACTTAATCATTAGTATGTTGATCAGTACTTCCAAAACATGCCATGAAAGCCGATAAGAAGCGACTGGTTGTGGTCACGAGAAGCAAAACAAAGCGAAAGCCCAATGACTGCGATGTTTCGTGGGAAAACTGGGCCGAGCTCGAGGGAGTATAACAACGAAACTCATAAGACTTCCTGCGAAGACCTACCACGCTCAATTATAAAGCTCAATAAAAGACGTATAATGACATCATACGGGATTAATTGGAACACGAGGATAGGCGTTACTATGACCACGAACAGAAGAATTAGCTAAGTCAGTTCCTGAGAGAATGACGTCAGGGTCTTCATATGAATCTTCAGCTAACTTCAGCCATCGAAGAAAGTTATAAGGAAAATCAATAAATTGATCACCGACTTGAGGACGGATATCGAGGGAAATGCGAACGGATGATGTCAGTAGAAGGTCAAAGTACATTTCCCTCGGAAATGGCCTTCAACAAACATGATTTCCATATTTGTGTAGTAGACTAATACATAGGAATCGATATATCGATCGGGAATTTAAAAAGAAGGGAATAATAAGGGGGTCAATGAACTGAGTATGAAGGAACTACAAAGTGATTGAAAAGGTAGAAGGAAAGAAAGGAAGTCATTGAATAGAATGGCATGTAGCAAAGTGGTGATTGAGAAGTGTCCTTCGTGGAAATCAATATATCGATCCAAGCAACTAGAAGAAACAAAGGATTGAACAACCAGATCTCCGGTCGATATATCGGTTGGAAGTCGATTCACATTTCCAAAGTCGATATATCGACCTATCAATCGATTGCCTGTTGAGAAAGCAACACGTTGGATGATAAAGAAATTAGGGGAAATCGATTATCGATTAGGGAGATCGTGACTGTGGAATGATGGAAAAAGATGTATGAGCTGGAAGGTAACGAGGAACCCTACATCGACTAGATACTGAAATGAGTTTTTTGAAGAATAGAGGTGAGGACGACTTATCAAGAATGGGGTGCAAACCACAGGCACTGTCATAAAGAAGTCAGAGGGACGTCTGGAACAGAGTGGCTACAAAAATCGATATATCGATTGCAATCCGCGATAGGGGCAGCCCAAACCCAGATCAAACTCAAACGGATAAAGTTTATATTTGCTACTGGATCATCTAGGACCGCTTACCTTGTACGTCAGTTTGCTCAGCGATCGAACGCCAAGCCGAATCGATTTGTTCTCGACGTCCGAAGAATTCGTGATCGTGATCCCAGATACAGGGATGATGTTGGATCTGGGCGATGAGTGTGGAGATGATCGACGCAGGAAGTGGTCGTGGGTGATCTGCAACAAAGCTGTTTGGAACCTGCACAATTTATAGCGAGGAGCATCGGAACGACTAATGAAGAGAGCGAGCCACAAAAGGCTGAATGACGAATCTCCTGAACGAGGTCTATGGGGACAGCAATTAGTTCTTGTCTTCCTTTTGCAAAAGCAAGCATTTTCGTTCCAAGAACGATATGCATGCCTACATAGGAATGCGGTTTGACGTCGACAACCTCTCGGATGGTCGGTAATTGGATGTGCATATAGGGGAACCAGCAGGGTTGCTTCTACATATGTAGGTAAGAAGACCAACTGATTCCTAAGAGCAAGAAAGTTGAATACGCGGGTTTCAATGTTCCGTTTGGGAAAACTCTCTTGTTCGGAACAGAACTTGGACTTGGATCGAATACTGCTGTAATTCTGAGTCAAAGTAGCACGCATGGCGCACGCCGAAGCAGGGTTTATTGGTGCCGATCTTTTATTTACTGAAGCTGAACAAGTATAGATCTGTAACAGCTACAATTAAAGACTCTTAAAAAGTATTTGGGAACATCTGGTAAATATTATCTAATGGCGAGGCTTTGAAAGCAAACGAAGAGCATTATGGTAGTACGCTGAAGGCAATCTAACAGGATTCACGCCTAAAAGGAAAACTATGGAGACAAGGGGATTTGATTAAGTGATTACGGTAGTGATCCTGGTATGATTCCNCAGGGTTTATTGGTGCCGATCTTTTATTTACTGAAGCTGAACAAGTATAGATCTGTAACAGCTACAATTAAAGACTCTTAAAAAGTATTTGGGAACATCTGGTAAATATTATCTAATGGCCCGGCTTTGAAAGCAAACGAGGGGCATTATGGTAGTACGCTGTAGGCAATCTAACAGGATTCACGCCTAAAAGGAAAACTATGGAGACAAGGGGATTTGATTAAGTGATTACGGTAGTGATCCTGGTATGATTCCTGTTTACTGTTATGCTTAGTTTAACAAAAGTAGTCAACAGAGTTTTGTTGATTAGTCACAGAGGAAGCCCGCCAGGGTAACGAGATTTTGCGGACAGTGAATCAGTGATATGTTGCTTTAGATATTTAATTCGGATTTAGACGGAGTACCATGTCTCAGGAACTACCGTACACCCTTTTTCAAACAAAAAGAAATCATTTCTGCTAATTTCACTACAATTTAAATTCAACTGTAAAGAGACAAAGTCCACAGTATGATTTTTTACAATACATTTTTTATGCGGAAAGGAATTGCTTTCGTCATTTTTTTCATAAAGTTTGTAGTTAGTCAGGTTACAAAGTAACAAAATGCACTATGAATTCCTATGCAGTAAAGCTACAACGTCAACAAAGTACTGTACAACGAAAACCTGTCTTTGAGCGGAAAAAAACAAGCCCTTATTAAAAATAAATAAACAGGAAAAGCAAATACCACGGCAAGTAATATTCAGAGTAAGAGCTCAAACTTATATTAATAGTAGTAGTTCCTTGGTGATGACTAGTCTTAGAAAGAAGTTGCCGAACTTCGGTTTGAACCGACTTCTTACTCATTCAGGAAAACTACTGCTCTTAGAATGCTGAAAAATTGAGTTCTAAGAGCTGTAGTTTTTCATGGGAATTTGGAATTTAAAATATTGGAATTTGACAAGAATTTTATAAAATTTTAATTTAATTTAAATTTTATTTTATTAATTTGGCAAATTTTCAATTAACTTAACTAACTTAACTGTACTCTAAGGCGAGAAGAGAAAAGATTAGCTTACAAAAAGTATCAAATATAAGAAGAAATGAAAACACAGTAATTATGAGTGAATTATATGTGTCAATTACAGTCACTGAAAAAATAGCAGTGTAATTTTGTCAGTTCATAGCTTTTTTGCACAATTTTCATTCATTTTACTCTACTTGTCGCCCCCTCCCTACTGAATGCTCCTATGAAGAAAAAGTCTCACCAGCTCAAGGATGGGAACTCCCTATATAGAAGAAGAGAATAAGAGAGAAGAGTGGAAGAGGGTTTCACGATTTCATGAAATGAAAAGCCGCTTGAGCTCCAGGGGAATCCTACGGCTGGAAACTTTCATGGTTCTCACTACGCCGATCACCGATCAAGAGAGGGAGGAACGCATAGATAGCAGCATCGTGAGCACCAGAACCTTACCCCAGGGAAGCATAATTGCATGCAGGAATGTCGTGAATTTTTGACGGGTTAGTTATAGGCTTAGTGAGGGAGGTCGTAGAAATTTAAATTGCTGAGCAATTTCCTTCGCAGCTATGCGCGAGTCTAATTGCCAGGCAAAGGGTTTTTCTAAGAAAATATGAAAATTTTCTACAGAAAAAAAGACCACAGAGTAGAGTTCTACAAAAGGGAAGCTTCCGGGGTGTTTCAGCGTCTGAGTGGATCAAAAGATTGTCGGGAAAGCATCGTTTCAACCATGAAAAACATCTGCACAAATGATATGCAAATAATCCGACGATGAGAGATCAAGAAAAAGTAGGAGCTGCAGGGAGGAAGAAATTCAGTTGTTTACGACAACACAATGATGATGCATAGTGAAGTTTCCGTGATATGACGATATCCTTAATCGGATTATGTGCTCGAGAGAGTTTCAGCAGTTTCTACAAAGGGGCTGAAAAGTTTGAGCAGAAGGAAAAACAACTCCTTCGAATCTGCACAGACGTCTAATACAAAATAGCAGATTTTCCCACATCAAATCAATCTACTCAAAAATTCTTGATTTCCTGGGTTTACGCCAGTCATTCGAATCTCTCTCGGTATTACAGAAATATTTAAATGATCATTTGGTACATGCATGTACATTAGCGACTTGGGGAATCCTGATTTTAGACGAGGTGGCCTCGAGAGCTCAATGTAATGGTCCAAAACCCAATCCCGGATCGAGTTTTCGGACTATACTTGTGACAAATGGCAATCCACTACATTGAGCGCTCAGGCCACCCCAGTCTTCCACCTCTTCGGGACCGGTTAATTGGCACCAGATTCATATGGGAGAACAAAAGCGACGACTTACATTTCGGCAGACCACTGCAAGCAATATAGCCTGAGAAGTCTATGCCATTTGACGCTTCTTCTCAACAATGTCCTCAGTAGAAAATTCTGAAGAGGAAGAAAAGCAAGAGAGCATGCGAGTTAGAACCTGCCTTCCTTTTTGCCTAGCATAAAACAGCGGTGGATAGACGAGAGATCCAACTCTTCAGCGATCCTTGGAGACATTTCTCGAAGTCAACTCTTAAGGGCTGGAACTCATTGGGCCTCAGGAGGAAAGTCTGTTTGGTCCCATTCAACGTCAATGTACCAAAATCTTCAATGACATTACTCTATATTTTTGAGATGTCATTGTCCAAAGATTCTACCCCATAATTGAGACACCACCTCGAATTCACGGGTTATATGCCAATGGAGACACCAGTTCCAATCCATGAGTTATATGTCAGTTCAGCTGTGAAACTAAACCATGTCATTAAAACATAGTGGAATAATCATTATAAGGGGATGGCATTGCTAAAAGTCCCATGCGTCTGAAGATAGGGCTTTTGAGGACATCAGTATCAGTCGCCATGATTCATCGTCGGTCCAACGCGTTCAAATCCCGGGAAATCACCATTCACGAAAAAGTAGCTTTACTGGTTATCATTAGGTTTCTTCCGATACCCTAATGAATATGACAGTTTTCCAGGAAGGGTTCGGAAAATGCCGTTGTTTTTCCTAAACGATAATTCCAGGAAGGATTTGTGGAAATTAACGTCATTTTTCCTAAACGCCACAATTTCCTGGATAATTTAGAAGTTGTCGTTTCTCAGAAAGCTTGCTCCTTTCAGGGAGATACTTATCTATCAAATAAAATATCAAATGAAAGGAATCGTCTCTTTCTATTGTCTGTTTGGAAAACAGAAGGACAGCATTGCATTCACTAACCAAGTCGAGCTAGATTTTAAATTTTGCTGCAAATTTTTTTTATTTTGTCGATGGCTTGTTTATAGTATGGGTGTCACAATACGGGTAAACAAGTAAACAAACAAATATGTAAGGCAAAATTGCTGCACCAATCACTGAATTATTTCCCAAAATACACATGGTGAATATACGTTAACACATTACTTTTTATTAATTTTTGCTATGAGATTTTAATTGTTTTTCGAGGGCGAAGGCATCTAGTCCACATGATCGAGCTGGTAAATAAGTAAATAAAACAATCGATTGGTACGTAGCTTAGTTGCCGTTTAGTTCCTCATACTACACGATGAAATAGTGTGAAACGCTAAGCAGAACATGGCACCTTGAACGGCTAGACCCATCCAGGGTGAAGCCTATTAGAAGCAAATGTTTAGCTGACAACCTAGGGTACGCCCATGCACGTGGGAGGGTCTCCAGAAGTAATAATTACAAAATGCCACATTGAAATTAAACTTTTAATATGCCGGTAAGTACACTACTCCCACTACATTCACAACTATCACGTCATTCGGGATACGCCCATGTAGGCGAGGGAATATTAAAGTACTTCACAGAGATACAACTTGCAGAGAATCAGGAACGCTGCTTAAGAATGTCCGCTGCTGCTGGCTGCTACCACTGCTATCTCCCACGTCATCTAGAATATACCCATGATCAGGGAATGCTTAGTAGTATCAAGAAGTAAAGGGCACAGCGATCCCTGAAATTTGTTTACTGTTTATTTACTGATTACACCTGAGAGTGTGTCACGCCATTGCCAGTTGAGACGACGATAATTAGTACGTTCTTGGGATAGCTTCAGGTCGTAGTCCAAAAAGCATGGGAAAGTCAGAAAAGGGAAAGATTAGCGGATAGCTGTTGACCCAGAAGTCTTCCCATGCTTTCTACCTATGGCTAATCCCCAAGAGGATACTTGTTATTGTAAAACAGGACGGAAATTCTGATAACAACTATTTGTACTCACTAGAAGTCGAAGGTAGTGGGAAAAAGAGGGCAATGACTGCAGTCTGACGGCATTATTCGCGATGTGGCTGTCTGAATGCAGTCACACACGCTCAACATAATAGCTACGGAAGCGAAACTTCACTTCCAATTTGACGTCATGGTAAGGGAAAACATGTAATTGGGCACAATATTACTTATACGACGCACATTTACGGTCTCTATCCGTCACCTATGGAAGGTTCTGAGAGAGCTACAGCTGGGTAGATTCGAAAACTCAAAGTCCGTAAGTCTCCTTCCAGTTCCGGGTGATTTCCTAGAAAAAATTTGCTGCGATCGACCACAATTTCATCGTTCTGGAACTCCTGACTATGCTGTAGTCCTAGGCGGAGTGTTCAAATTTTCATGTTGAAATGGAAAATGCCCCAGCTGGTGGCACCTGTTCGGGAAGAAGCATGACAAGTGGGTAAGCAAAAACGAAAGGAATTGGAAGCTGACAAAGCAAGAATACAGGGCAAAGT